CCACACCCCCCCCCCCCCCAGTGCGGCTGCCTCATTGTACTGCAGAGTAGACCTGCGGGATGGCAGGCGGAGATGCCAGCAGAGCGCAGCTCCCTCCTTATCGATGTCAGGTTTGGGTGCATATCACTCTGGGAATCCTGCCTGCTCCCGCTCGGCGCGCACGCGCCTAGATTGTCAGTGGGGTGCAACCCCAGCAAAGCTCCCCACTACCCGACGCGGGGAGACAGAAGGGGAGAGGGGCCGAGCCGGGCGCGGGGCTAGCCCACGACTTGGCACGGCTGGGCACCTGGGCGCTGGCCGTAGGAGACAGCGCAAGCGGAGGCAGGGGGCCTCAGGAACAGGTGAGAGTGGGTAAAGGTTCCAAAGAGGATGGCGCTGCGGTCATCCCCCTTCCCAGTTTGACTACTTCGGACTCGGAGTGAACGCACTCTTTAGAGCGAAGAGGCGGGAAGTGTTGACAGTGGGGATGCACAGCCAAGTTTTGAGCGTTCGAACTCCAGGCTGTCTGCGCCGAATTCCTGCCAGCCAAGCAGGCGGGGCGCCGGCTTCGCTGATTATGAAAAAGGGCACTTGTATACAATGGCTGCGGATTCGCCACGCCAGGCTGAGAAAGCCACATCTGCTCTCCCACTCCCAGTCCCCAGGTTACTGCAGACCCCTGCAGATCTTGGGCTGCTCTAGCCCCCGAACCTGATTATTCAGCTCTCGCTCTCGAGAGCTTGGAGCTAGGAGTTGGAGACTTCCCAGCTTGGGCTGGGGATGGGGGTGTGTCCCCCTACGGGCGAGATCCGCGGTCTGCCAATGCTTCCGTGATGCTACTGCCCTGAAGGTGTCAGTGCCAGCGGTGATCTCGTCGCACGTGGCCTGGGATTCGTGGCCGAGGTCAGCCCAGAAGAGGGCAGATCGAGGCCACCGGGGGCCCCTCAGCCTCACAAGGGTGTGGCTGAGCCAGAGGGTAGGGAAGGCGTCAGGGCCCTAGTGGGCCTGGGGGCTTCAAAGAGCTTGGGCTACACAGTCTTGCTGCTGATTATTTTTAAATTCCGAAAGCCTCGTAGATGTTCCCAAGCCTCTTTACTTTTTTTTTTTTTTTTCCCCAAGTTTGAATCTAGTGGTGAAAGTTTGCTTGACTGACCGGTATGTTTTACAGGTGATAAGGTTACCATTCTTACTCTAAAATACATTTCCAACAGTGACTTGGCAGTTGTTCAGAAATAGAAAACAAAATAATTTCTCCCCTAAGCCCTCCTCCCTCCCCTGAAATTCTCTACTCTCAGGAGAGAAAGCTGCTTGATAACAAAGCTCTCTCTGGGGGTCTTTTAGTTTTACTAATCACCTTTATTTCACCATAAGTGGTTAATGGGTTAAATAGGGGTCCAGTACAAGGATTTAGTGGAGTTTGAATTTTCAGAGCTCTTGGCCTGGCTGAGGCATTCACTGGGGAGGGAGCTTGGGCTGCCATAAACCTCTGTACCTCAGGCTCCTCAGGTAAAGTGGGGGGATGCTGGGAGGAGCAAATGA